CCGGCGCCATCATGGGCAAGAAAAGCAAATTGGGCAAGAGCCGGAGGGACAAGTTCTACCACCTGGCTAAGGAGACGGGTAAGGGGCCTGTCCGCTCGCTGCGGGGCAGCGGGGGCTGCGGCTCCGCTAACCCCTAACCACGGTAATCTGTAACCCGCGGCTCTCCCTCCCACAGGCTTTCGCTCCCGCTCCTCCTTCAAGCTTCTCCAGCTCAATAGGAAGTTCCAGTTCCTGCAGAAGGCCCGCGCACTGCTGGACCTGTGTGCAGCCCCCGGCGGGTGGTGAGTGGTGTCAGGGCCCCAAGTCGCAGCCCAGTGCCGCCAGCTGCCCTGGGACCTCCTTATCATGTTTTCTGTTGTGGTGGCTCATCTCAGTCTCTGCCCTCGATGCCAAAGCTGATCCCAAACACCTGGGCAGTGTAGTTCAAGGCTGGGGGCTCTCCTGGGATCCTGCTGTAGCTTTGATCCTTTCTGTTGTTTCCAGGCTGCAGGTGGCTTCTAAATTCATGCCGGTTTCCAGCTTGATCATTGGTGAGTGATGGGCGAGGAGTGGGCTGGGGGCAGGGACCTCCACTGCAGTCCCTGGATGAGGCCAAAGGAAAGGAATCCTGGATTTGGGGATCGTGGTGGGAGAAGAGAGCAGCTGGGGAAGCCATGTGGGATGGGCTGGAGCCCGGTTTTCAGAGATTGTGGTGTTCACACCTCTTCCTTACTCCAGGGGTGGACTTGGTCCCCATCAAGCCCATTCCCAACGTAGTGACGCTGCAGGAGGACATCACCACTGAGAAGTGCCGCCAGGTACAAACCTGTCTCCCCTGCCCCGACCGTCACGCGCCGGTCTGGTAGAACCATGGCAGGGGGCTGAGCTGAGCTGACATGGATGGGGCTGCTGCCTGTTGGTTCTTGCAAGAGGGGTTAGTGGGACAAACGTGTCTCCATCCCTCAGGCACTGCGCAAGGAGCTGCAGACATGGAAGGTGGACGTGGTGCTGAATGACGGAGCGCCCAACGTGGGAGCCAGCTGGGTGCATGATGCCTACTCCCAAGGTGGGGCCCGCTGGGGGCTGGCGTGTGGCCTGGCACGGTTTGGAGGGGGTACAAGGGCAGGGACATCTCACACCCAGCAGGGCCGGGGGGCAGTGGTGCGTTCTGTGGGACAGGGAGCTGGGTGGTGGGGACGGTGACGACTGCTGACTGCTCTTCTCCCCTGCTCCAGCCAACCTGACCCTCATGGCCCTGAAACTGGCCTGTGAATTCCTCTGCAAAGGCGGCTGGTTTATCACCAAGGTTTTTCGTTCCCGGGACTACCAACCGCTTCTCTGGATCTTCCAGCAGTTCTTCCAGAAGGTCCAGGCCACCAAGCCCCAAGCCTCCCGTAACGAGTCCGCTGAGATCTTTGTGGTGTGCCAGGGTGAGCAGCTGGGGGGACCTGCAGCCGCTGGGATGGGGCTGGCAAAAACCTGCTGATGGCTCCGATTCCTCCATCCCAGGTTATCAGGCTCCGGACAAAATTGACAGCAAGTTCTTTGACCCAAAATATGCCTTCAAAGAGGTGGAGGTTCAGGCTAAGTCTGTTACCGAGCTGGTCAGCAAAAAGAAGCCAAAGGTATGAGCTTGCTCCACTGGGCAGCAAGGCCAAACATGCACTAAAGGGGCTGGGGGCTGGGTCCAAGGAAATTGTAATAAACAAAGTTGCTCAGGAAAATGGAAGGTCTGGGGATGCGAAGTGGTGGAAGAACCAGTTTTGGGGACACAGCCTTAGGATGTGGTGATGGGGAAGCGGTGAACAAGTTGTGAGGCTGGGGACGGATCGATAAAATCCTCCCAACAATGGTTGGCCACTGGGTTTGTGTCTGTGAGGTGTCTTTAGGACACAGGACAGCAAAGGCCATGTCAAGTGGCCTCAGCTGGGCACGGAGCTGACACAAATCTCTATCGCTGTCACCTCTCAGAGTCTGAGGTGGGACTGGGAGACACTGTGGAGCTGGCAGGCTTGGGCTGGTAACTTGCCCTCCTTCCTCAGTCATGCGGGCACGTTTAGGTGGACGCTGCAGCAAGACATGAGTTATGTGACTTCCCTCGCCCTTTAGGGATGGTTGAAGCTGCTTATATGTGCCCTGCTATGCCTCATACAGCTCCTTCCTCCTGTAGGCAGAAGGCTACGCAGATGGTGACATGACCCTCTACCACCGCTTCACCCTGATGGACTTCCTCAAGGCTCCCAACCCTGTGGACTTCCTCTCTAAGGCCAACGAGGTGGGTGCCTGAAATGAGGGGGACCTTGGTGGCCCCTGAGATGTCCCCAGGAGCACAGAGCGATGAAAAGGGGGAGCCAGGTGCCCCAGCAGTGGCCCAGTTCCTGTTCTTGTGGAGGGGAGGCAAGGCAGGAGCTGGGGCTCAGGCGTAACAGCCCTTTCCCTCTGCTCTGTCCAGATCACGCTGGGGGATGGTGAGCTGGAGAATCACAGTTCCACCACGGAGGAGCTGCGTCAGTGCTGCAAGGACATCCGTGTGCTGGGACGCAAAGAGCTCAGGTAGTGGTTGGGACTAGGACAGGGCATTATGCTGGGCCCGGTGGATGTCTCTAACACTCTGCCTCCTCCCACAGA